ACGGTGTTAACGGGAAACATGATATCCTGGAAAACATGATATCACTGAACTGTTCATACACAAAAAGATAAAATGGCGAAAACTTGAGAATTGTCGCCGAACCTAACACCCAGCCTGGTCTATAAATGTCCATCTTTTAGTAAATATTATTCTTACTGAATTTTGCATACTCATGGAAACAACACATTCTAATTCTTCACTGCGTTTAGTGGGCTTTGAGGCACTTGTTGAAGCAAATGCTTGCTCGTTAATCAAAATTCAAGCACATTTTTACACATGGCATCGCACACGAGACAAACTAAACCCTTTTGTCTGTCAATGGGACGATGGGGTTAGCCTTGTAAAATTTTTTCAGTGAAATACTAGCCATTTGGGTTGCTTTACTTGAGTTTAAAACATAACCAAGCATATTTTGATGTATAAAAATTTGTCTTGCAAGTATACAAATGCAGGTTGCGTTTTTCAACAGCCATTTAAATGTCAGGAAATATCACATAGCTCAGAGATCACCTTGCATATATATTTGTGGTTGGATCAGGCGAAACTTATTATCGGCATTGTAAATATCAATGTCTAACTATGGAGAAGGAGATTTACGTTAAAAAGTTAACTGCTAGAGTACCTTTGGGTCTTGTGTTTGACACTGATTCCTTCTCCACGTGAAAATGTTAGTTCACCACGCCTCCTCAATTACTTTGTCACCTCTCCCATTTGATTTTTTTTTATTATAATGGACCGTTATTGTCAGTATATATATATATATATATATATATATATATATATATATATATATATATATATTCTTTCAGCCTGAGTGGGAATGTTAGTTCACCACGCCTCCTGAATTACTTTATCACTTCTCCCTTTTGATTTTGTTATTATAATGGGCCATTATTGTCAGTATATATACTGTATATATATTTTACTTTGCCTTTCATCCTAAGTGCTTTCCAAACGTTTCGTTTGGGTTATTGGGTGTACAATGTATAATATTCTAATGGCTTGATGGCATCAAACAATATCGAATCATGAATTATACATGTGAATCCAGTGAATTTGTGATGCTGTATGACAGACTAATTCGACAGAACGGAAAAATAACAACAGGAAAGATATCTGTAGATACATCCTGTTAGTCTTGGTTTTTAATTTGACAGGCCGCACTCACTCGTCTACCATTATTTCTCTCCTCCATATCCCGCAAAATCTCGCTTGATTTTAGACTAAGTAGTGAGCCTTTGGGTTCTCTCTGATGATTCCCATTGGCCAGTCAGTTCTGTGCGTGTCTGACCAGGCACTGCACCAGAGTCCTCTGGGAAACAAGCCCCCGTCTAATATCTGTCAGTTCTAGGAATTTGTAATTTAACATTAATCTCAGAAGTGAATAATAGGAGTTGTCAGGTTTATGAGTCAGGCGATGGGAAAATGGGGTTTTAGCCCTAACGGGAGGAGATTAAGTCGGCATTGCTAGAGGTCGTGGCAGAAAGCTGGGAAATTACGGAGATAATTCCACTTTAGAAATAATAATAATTGTGGTCCACCTGCATTGGAAAGTGCCCATTATCATGTTGGTACTGGAATTCATCTCACACATGGATAGTGTACCATGCATTACTCAATAAGTTTGGAGGTGGCAATTGCAGTTACTAAATATACTAAATTTAGTTAAAAGCATCTCATTTTATTGAAATAAAAACGAATGTCCAAATCACAGTATCCAATGTGCTTAATGTCGTGATTCAGTAAGTGTCCAAAATATCTTTGGCCAAAAGTGAAATAACAAATAATCAGACACCCCAACCTTAGAATTCCTTTTTAGGAGAGAGTCGCAGTTTCTGTAGTTTACTGAGCGAGAGGTGGACTTTCCAGTGATAGACATAAGCCTATGACTTTGCACTTTTATCATTCGCGTTAACATTTTCAATATATTTCAGTCGATCTGATAAACGGTTTTTTAGCGGCTGCCAACAGCTATGGAATCCCAAATTCGTGTGAACCAATAGGTAGATTAATCACTGACTCTATTTAATTATTCATGTACAATTCGGATGCCTTTGCTTTCTGTTCGTCCATTTATAGAGGCTTTAACCTTTCTTTCTACGCAGATTCATTAACGTAGGCCTACGGGGGTCGATCTAAAGCGCAGTAAATCTAATGAATCCCATCTCAGTTGTTTTTTAAAGCCCCACCCCTTCCACACACTATTGCTTATATCGTTGTGGAACCCCTCTAGCCCGATTCCATGCCATGTCCGAATAAAACTAGTAAGCAATAGCTCTTGAAAATTACGACACAAAATTACAACCTTAGTGTACATTTTTATACCTAAAAGCACCTATGATAGAATCTATGGAGGCTCTTTACTGCTTTAACAATCACCGTAAATGAGAACGGTATTATACGTCGTGTCTATTGTTGAAATTAAATGGTCAATTTTTTCTGGACGATTTATGCCAAAAACACTCATTTCCCTGCAGTACATTACGGGATCTCAATAAAATCGTTCCATCGAACTATCACTACGGCGGTCACGGCGGCAGATAGCCTAACCATAAACTGTTTTAATACAGTATGATTGATGAGAGGCACTGATGGATTGCTTATCTGTTTGCGCTTTATGAATTTTGCACATCAAATACCCAGCACTGCAATGAAATTAGAGGAGATTGCATTCCAGTTGCTGGCACTATCGTCTACAAACTCTTGGATATTCTATTGTTGGTGTATGTTATTTTTTTATATTAAAACAGAACATAATGTACAACGCGAAATCTTCACAAAAAGGACATCTGCTAGAAACAACATTAGAATTATGAAAAATTAGCCATCATTTTGAAATAGAAAAATAGAGTCCAAATATCGTGATTTGTGCACGAAACGATCTTTGGACTTTAGAACAGCTGTCAATTCCTTCTTATTTGTTTTCAATTCGGATATGTTATCCAAATTGGGAATTATTACATCTGTGCGATTCATTTTGAGTCATGTAATTAAGTCCGCGTCGCAAACGATATATTTGTGATTAGCTGCATGTTTACACGATCCTATTTCAGACCAGTGAAAACTATGAGCAAAGTAGTACTTCGCTAATATCGATTATCTTCAAGATCATTACAGAATTAGAGGGTTACTTTTATCCTAAAAGAAATTTCGCAATGAATGAAATTATCGATGTTCAATCATTTGGTCCAAGGCGACCTTCTAAACATATGGGCAATTATTTTTGCAATATATGATGTTAAATATTTATAATGATGGACATTTCCTAATGATATCTGAATGGCAAAACGTGACATTTGCCGGGAAAATATCAACAACGGCAACCTGGGCTTTACCATTGTGCACGGTACACTGGGAAAGGTAACAATAGCAAAATGTCTTTATTTGCGATTTCCTCAAAATTTTGCAAGAGTCAATCGACTTCTGAGATTTCTTAAAATTCAGGCGATTTATAAAAGAAGTAGTGTACATTTTTAACTTAGTGCTTAATTATCAAATAGGCATAACTTTTACACAGAGCACCAAGAGAGCAAACCATACAAGTCATTTAAGTAGTAGCTGTCTTTTTTATTTAGAAGAAATATTATAAACCTATATTTTTGCATGTCAGGCAAGCTAGAATAAAACGCACAGTAATTGATCTATTGGGAAATCGCGTTCATCTTTCTAGTACAAGACCTCTCGGTACTTTATGTGTAATCCATCACGTCAGATAAAGACCATGCAAAAGTCAAGACTCACAGAACTACTTTTAAGCTAAACCATGTTCCGCGTGCAGTCGAAAAAAAGGGAAAATACACCCGACCCCCAGATGATCGACCCGTGAATGAAATCTGTTTACATGCTACTGCCGGTGCTTTGTTTATTTTAAGTATTAATTTATGTCGCCACCGCCGATCGATGCGACCCAGGTCGACATTCTAGGTTTACTAACAGTTCTTGTGACTCCGTACTTGTTTTATATTGTCCTTGTATGTCTGAGTTCCCGTTGGGGTCACGCCATGCCGTGTTTAATGTGAAATAAATTCGATTGTTTTTTTCTGTATCTACGCTTTAATAGTGTGTAATGCGCATCGAACGATGTGGCAGGTGTTACATTGTACTTTAAAGCTAGGTCGGTAATCTGTAATGCAAACTCAATGTTATGCCTATTTGATAATTAAGCACTAAATGCTGTTATTGATGAAGCTTTACACGCGTGTTATGATCACTATCGTTATTCCCATTATGATTTGTCTTTCTTTTCTAAATCTATTCATATGACAGCATATATCTTATGATGAAAAGGAAAGTGGTTCGCCAATAATTTACATTCTGTTTCAAATTTCTATTCGTATTAGAAAACTTGGACATCGCTTGGGCATCAAGGCCAACAAAAAGTTCACAAATTAAAACCGCGTAACTGTTTAGCTCCGTTAATTGCTGTGAGCCAAGGTGCTCGTGGTTCTTGTTAGCGTTGCACAAAAGTATTGGTAGCAGTGACAAATCGATGGAAATTTCTGTTCGATCATATCATACTTAAGATAAGGTAACACTTATTATTGCATTCCAAAGGACCTTAAATTAAGTCAATATCTGTGTTGTGAGACGATGGATTGGAACATGACGTCCACCCTTCTCTCGACACCAGTTATCACACCTTAGCTTGTTCCTTTTCAGATGGAAACTGAATAATGCGAGTTTACCAAAATTTCAAATCGATCAACATCCACAAAATTTACTGTTTTATGAATTAAGGCAGTGTGTGACTTCGTCGGAACAAGGTTTTTTTAAATAAAAGAAGGCTTAAGCACCATAGTGCCTATTAGGTCTGACTCAAAAGGCGGGGTATATATATATATATATATATATATATATATATATATATATATATATATATATATATATATAGCATTGTCATCCATTACTATATATATATATATATATATATAATAGTATTGTCTGGTGATCGAAGCCAAGTGTCATCCATTACTTTAAGTCATACTAACATGGTCACTTACCTAGTCTGAGGGCAATTCTAAACTGGCAATACATGGTGGTTCAAGCAAGGGTCAAGTTTTCCTTGTAAAGTGCTCGGTTTCCTTTAAAAAGGACCTGGACCAATCCAAGTACCATCCAGTGCAAATCCTGACAATAAATCCTATTTCGGCCGCAAATTTACAGATGGTGCGATTCTTTTCTCCTATCATTAAAAGAAAAGACTGCTTAAATCCGTTTTCTTGCAAAACCGCTTGTATGGAATTTTTTTGACAAATGATTCTCCTTCCTCCGACCCGTTTTCAGTATGTGATACGAAAGGTGTCCTTTTAAAGTACCGTTACATACACTATGCGAATTGATTCACGTGTTAGACTTTGGTGACTTAAATTCCTTTGATGTCGTTGTCCTAGAAATTTCATCACCTCCAGGGATGTTTCCGTTTCCTAGAATTTTGTCCTATTTAATTACAACCGATGTCCCAGTAGTGCTGACGAATGTCACAGCCCTTAACATTCGGAAATTGGATCATCGTTGCATACGACAGCGCACAGTCATCGCTTGAAAGCAACCAATGTCTTCAGACTCCTACAGGTGGCATTTTACACTAAGCATTTTCTGTACACAATTTCAGGAGAAAGTAGGTTAAAAAAGAGCTCTCCCGTGTGACAAAACCGTGCATTGACTTACACAGTGTATACAAGTACTGATGACAAATATCGTTTGGTAATCTAACTCCAATATACAATGCCACTATATATTTCCCGATGCAGTTCCGCACTTTTCTGAATAGTTGCATTTATCTATAAATGCCTTGACTCCGTGGAGTATGCTCCTTTTCTACCAAAGCGACAGCAAGTGTTTGGCGCACCTATCCACGAAATACGCCGCTCCAATGAACCTGGCAGGATCGATCCACGAGAAGCTCCGATGTCATCGACAGAAGTGTTATACTTCAATGTTGCGGTGAGTAAATTAACTATCACACCTTGTTCCGTTTAAGAGCTGAGACTGTTGAGAAAGTCAATTTGTTTTATACCGATTAACTGCGCATGCTACCTACAGTATAAACCGCAGTCGTTCTGGGTTCTGAGAGTTTCTACAATCAAATCGTCAATAAAACCTACTTCAACCAAGCCGAGCCTAGTGTAGACTAGCTCTGAAAAGGGTGTTTATATTTCCCACGTTAATGAAAACATGTTGCTTTTGAGATCCTGGCCCTGTTTGACTGCCTTGGGGATGTGGAATCAATGAGTGACTTCTTCAATTGCCGACTTCTTCCACGCTCCCCGACATATCTTCACGTATCTGTCCCACATCTATCGACTTAACTCTGAGAAACTAGTCAGGAATTATACAACGGTGCACTTTAAGGAAGCTCCTACATTTCAGCTTCATGCCAGTCTCCCAGTGCCAGTTAGCCTTTCTCTTTCTCTAAGATAATCGATAGAGTAATTGTTGTTTATAATCAATTTACGTTTTCAGGTTAGTTGAACCCGTGTGGCATATTAAAGGACAGCATGCGGAAGTGCAAGCGTTCACGGCGGTCTCTTTGGTCTGATTGTCTACCGCTAGATTGCACTCTGTGTCTGCAAGTGGCCTTTTGTTCAATTGTATCTGTCTCATCACTCTCGCAAGGCATAAAATATTTGTGTATTTACCGAGACTTTTCTTAAATTATCCAATAGTTTGTCGCCATTACGTTTCACAACGGTTGTAAGTACGTTTGCCCAACGAACGTCACTGCGTATCAAATCATTCTTGTGTAGTGAGCCTTTCGATGCACACTAAAATCGGGGTATACGTCTAATAAGTAAGCTCAGCACCTTTGCTATATATTATGGGAACATTTGGGACGAAGAAAGCCTTGATATGTAGATACTCTGTGCACATATACATGTAATTTGAAGTGTACTTTGTTTAAGAGACAAAATGCCAGAATTATCAATCTAGTCAACCAACCTCCGTCTTGGGAGTTCCACCCCTTTGGACATGTTAACAGAAGATTAATCTTGTATCTCTGTCATACAAAAACAAATTCTAATGTACACGGCCGTCAAAAGCAGTGACTGTTGAAAAACACCGATTACTTGAGCGGAAGTCTACCCTAGGGACTACTTGGCGGCCTCTCCACACTAGCTGTATCATGAAATACAGAATGGAAAAATAAGAAAACGAGTACCCTAGCCGTCTGCTGTATTGTCTTTGTAGATTTTTATAAAGCAAAAGTAGATTTTTTACTTTTAGATGGAGTTAACGTTTTTAAGTAGTTTTTTATCACGTGTAGTATCAAATTAAAATTCCCCTTTTAATGCTTATTATTAAATGTCTTTATTAGTTTAGTTATTGCTTAAAAGTCCTTAGCTGTCAATGGAAAACGATTTCTTATACAGTATACATATTTATATATTCACTGCTTGAATAAATTCATATCTCATCTAATTGGAAGATAGTAGGAGACATGACAGATTACAACAAAATTCTAAGATGCAATTTCAAAAAAAAAGTGACGTAGGATTTAGAAAATTATTGAAAAAGTACTAAACTTTGTGTCCATCGGTCGTATCTCCTTTTTAGCTCTTAGATGTAGATTTCAAATGTTTTACCTCTAAAAGGTAAAATATAAAATAATTGTTCTTCAATTCACAAAAATGATGATTTCAGATTATTGTTTTTCATAAATATCTAATTAATAGCATTAATTATTATTATTATTATTATTATTATTATTATTATTATTAATGCGACAAATAAGAAAGCGACATATGATAGACATCTTGTTGGGACACTCTTCCAACGTATAACCCTGTTCTAATTATCCTTCACTCTTGAAACAGAATTTGACATCTATTTATCCCAATAAAAATCCATGGGCTTTTTAGTGAATTAACCAAGCGTGGGAGCATAAAAAGGGTCATCAATAATATTCCATGAAAAATGTATATATACTGGGACGTGTATCTATCGCAACCACTGCTAAGTGCGTTGTAATATCCTTAGTTGGCTCGAAGCACTATCAGGTGTGACAGGAATAGTTGTCCTAGGAATGAAAGTCCAGAGTTCCATATGATGAGTACATGTTAGGGACAGTCGGTATATTGGGGTTAGTATGGGACGAATGTCACCTGTACAAAGTAATGAAGAACGGACTACGGTTCCCAGCGGACAACCATTCCTGCCACATTACGGCTGGAAATTATGCTCATGTCATGAAGTGGTAATGTACTATGAAGTATCTTAACATACGTCTCTAAGGCATATTATTGAGAAACCGCCTCTACAAGTTCCCATTACAATAAGAAGACGGTGCTGTATTATCTATCATTATAAGTTTTTGTATCAAAGAAAATTAGTTTTCAAACCGAAGGCTTCAGAAACTGTGAGTTTAGCCCAATGATCATCGTCAGAATAGGTAAACATCTACTATACCAAGATAAAGTAATTGTTGCCTTTGAATATCACCGGTTTAATGAATACACAAAACCCTGGGGAGTCCTTATTGCCCTAAATTGTCTTTGGATTCTATACGTTTGGAACGTTTGGAACGTAATGCGCACCTTTAAATTAGCTACTGCCTTAACAGATCATGCGCAATATTGGACAAAATAGAATGACGCGCTTGTGTTGCTGAATTAGTCGTTTTTTCCAGCAAAGAGAGAGAGAGAGAGAATTTCGTCCTCTGTTGCTCTGAGTTAACACATAATGCACAATCTGTCATCAGGTTCTGGAGTGGATTTGAGTTTATTATGCCGACAATATTTATCCGTGTATGTAGCCTACAATCGCAAAACTGATCACTGGGTAATAAAAAAAATTCAATTTTCTCTCAACAAAATGTATAAACTGTTACTGTAAATAGATAACGGGAAAAAAAGAATTGACAGATATACCATTCTCATCTGAAAAATATCTGACAGGTTACTATGACCGCTGTCAGAAGTGATGTCATGACAGGTCTCATATAAATGCTGTGTGCACCGAGACTCACTGGTCCTTTCGTCGATCTTTCTCCTGGAGTCGAGGTGGTTGGATCTAAATAACGAAAAGGTAATATTTTAAGCAATCTGGGAAGTAAATATTAACACGAATGTTTATATAAAATGTTTCATTGTCAGTATTTTTCTTACCATAGGGGCGTAGTCCAACAAACACCTGTGAACAATCCGCTCACGCCCAGGTGCCAATTATCCTGGAGGAGCGCCAAAAATAATACACTTGTAAGGAAAAGGACGAGATATTACAAGACATCATCAACCAAAAACGACAAAAATATCCCTTTTTGGTCAGAAGTATTTGGGTATGAGTACCTACCGACAAGACCTTTGACCTCATAGATAGCCAAAGTGCCACTAACGGAACCGCTGACGAGAAGAAGAGGCTTACTGTTCGGACTGTCGCTGTCATGTATGAAACTGAAATGGGATTCCAAACTGTAACGTTGCAATCTCAAGGGTAACGGTAAATTCAACTAATGAATCATCACATACCGTGACACGTGTACCAGTATGTCTTCCCGTTATGTTTATACATGTATTTGCTACATTTGAAATATATTTGGATATTTACTCGAACTATCCATAAGGCTTACATATTGATTGCAAAGACGATTAGCTAACACTGAATATAACGTATAGCTTGAATTAACAAAAAATTTCTTTGGAGTGTATTTCTTAAAGTCAAACTATAAGAGAGAAAACAGTTCACCTGAGAGCCTCCGGATCTATATCGCCGACATTCCTTGCTGTATAAAGTTCTCCCCATGTCGCATTCAGACCACCAGCTCTGTAGATACTTTCATATCTTGGCGTCATACCGGTAGTGCCATCTATCGAGTAGATGATAATAGACGACGTCCGTTCATTGCCAACAAAGAATACCGTCTTTCCTCCTCTTTGGGCTACCGCCAAAGATTCGCACTCTGGTCCCTAATTACAAATAACAGAACACAACTGCAAAGTCTTAACAGAATGTTGTTGTTTTCACAAGTTAAAAAAATAAATAAAAATAAAAAATGGAATATCATAAGTGTTTCATTTCGTTCAAAAGAAATAAAATTTAAAGACGGACAGAAAGACAGGCGGACAATAAAACTGCCCCTCAATAAGGCCTAATAAAACATTCAATGAAGAAGGAGTTGGTGATACTTTTGACTAAATGAGTAAATAAATAAATAAATAACATTATGTAGAAGCATACCTTATTATCTGATCTAGCATCAAAGGACTTTTCTGGAAGATCTTGAAGCTCTCCAGCTTCGCTGTTGAATACCATGCGCTCCAACTCTCGTGCATGCGCAGACTCTACTTCGTCCCCGCTGTCGAACACTAGGGACATGTCGTCTGCCTTGAAAATCGAGAAACTTCTGCCTCCATACGCGTAAATATTGTGATATTTATTGTCCAGTCCTTTGCCGTCAAAACGGCTCACCCTGAGTCGGGCTATGATGAATAAATGTTCAAATTTAATTAATGGATTAAACTATAGATTTGCTCAAATAAACATTTAATTTAGTCAAATAAGACAGAAACGCCTTCAAGCACTATGCAAGGTTTTAGCAAATGAAGTCAAAGATATACCTTTATTGTTTCATGTTGCTAAGCTTGGACCTAAATATGATTATGTCCATGTGTTTAAGTAAGTTAGGCCCCTACTCGTCACATACCTAATCCTGAATCATTTAAAGCGGCATCAGCTACTTGGCTATCTATTGTGCTTGCAAGATCTAGAAGTAAAAAAAAATTAATCTATAATATCCGCAGAAACAGATATATTTCTTCAGGGGCGCCCCAACAATCCGTATAATTATCAGTCTGGACTTTTATTGTTCCGAGCAATGAAAGTATAGTTTTTATTAAAAAAAATAAAACTATAGATTCTTAAGTAACTACCATATATATATATAGGACAGTAATCATATGTAGGCTACATCCAGAAATATCGTTGACGGAAACTGTTTTTGTTTTTATTTTCCGCAGTTATAAGCGCCATTCACTATTGTAACTTACGACCGAGGAAATAGCTTTTGGACCAGTGAATTATCGGTCTAAATCTAAAATTGACGTTCAAAATGTAGTTATGTATTAGTATAGTAAGATAATTGTTACTTAGACACTTTAACAACTAACGAAAGCAATCCTTTGTTGGTGTAGAAAAATCATGATGTGTGTATTTCCAACACCCCAAAATAAATGAAGTACAGAATTGTTACATAAAGTCTGGAAGAAGGGTATTTTCCCTTTTCACTTTGAAGGCAGTTTCATTTGAAGTTGACACAGAGATGGAAGAACACCGTTATATCATACATATAGCTAGGCCTAATGTTTAATGGCTGTTGAAGATGTCACGGTCAGGTTGGAAATATTAAATGTTGGCAGGTGGGAAGACATTGGTTTTATGGGCAGGACTTACTTGGTGCAATAGTGCTCATTATTGTTTCTTCCATGAAATCAAACCCATGGTCAGCCATGTTGTATTCTTTAGCATCGCCCTCATTGGCTGTTGCTATGTAACTGACCCCGCCCATTTCGAAATACTTGATGCTGTCTGGTTGGTACATCCCCAGTATGTTCCATGGCCGTATGCTGATAGCTGGAATGAGTAGCAAAACTTAACCAAGCATGTGCATTTGGCCATGATTGTTAGTTTCACGTATTCACTCTTCGTCAAGGTAGTAAAATAACCATAGTTTTTGCAATATGTAGGCCCTATTTTAAATAGAAATAAACGATAAAAGGATAGCAAATCTTCTCAAACTATCATAAACCATAGGCCCCTAATCTCCGCAAACCTTTCGTCAATCATCATTATTATATTTCAATGTAGAAACTACAGAAAGTATAAAGTAGTGTCACATAAAGAAAAAGACATGAATACAACTTTTTATACCTTACGATTCAATAATTTACCTTAAGTTCGTACAGCACTAAGTCTTACGTAATGTAATATTTTTCATCTTTGCCCGACTTCAGGATACACGTTTGAGAACCTTAACCTTTTATGGTTACTGACCATTAAATTTTACTTGTCCACCGCTACTGTCACAAACAGAGATGGGCTTCTATTTATCGATGTCAACATAAATGTATGATGTTTCTTTTTCCAAATATCAATAACATTATTAACATTATTACAGAAGGCAGGAAGGATTACCATTGTCTTTGTCAGAAGCATCCAGCCCGCTTTCATTCCATCTTTTAAATCCGAGAGGATAAAGTGCCGTGAAATTCATTGTTGCCAAGTCAAGTACTGCCATAGCGTTGTTTTCCTAACACAAAAAAAGCATATTGTTCTAAAAACCACGGATCTGTATGGCAATCAAAACAGTACACTGCGCAACTAACACAATTTAACATGAACAGGCCTAGGTTACAGAAAAGAAGAGGTTTTATTCTGCACAAAATGAATCGACCTCTGGCGGAATGATGATGATGATAATGGTATCTAAGGTTCGAAGAAATGTGGATAAAATAAAACATCTGATTTTCAAAGCGAATCGTCCAAATTTAGTGTGACCGAACTTAAAAACATATTACAGAAGGCCAGCAGTATGTTAGAACTGTATCACCTGTAGCACTACGTAAGCCTTGGTGTTATCTTTGTTAAGCGTGATGTACTCTGGTTCAAGATCCTGGGACAGGGTGGTGGCCACAGACGTCTGGTTTCTGAATATCCATCTCACTCCACGGGACACGTACTGGTCAGCTCTTAAAAACGTGGAATAATGATGATATCATACTGAAAGAAATCTTTGACAATATCTACCAGTGTTTGGCATTTACATAGACCAGCCAATGTACGAGAAGCTCAATAGTACCACTTCAGCATTCCAATGAAGAGAGAAACCCGAAGCCGGTATAAGAGATTTCAACAAATAATTTTGATGCAATAATTCATAGTATCGTTAAAAACGGCATATGACGATGATAAAGACCTCGTCGTAAAAATATAAAACAGTACAAAGTTGATTGAAGGCGCCTATAAAAACAGCATAAAAACCTGACAACACAGATAAAATAGTCTCCGTTACTGCAATAAATACAAGACGTAAGGAATGAAAATATATGTACATGTACTTCAACCAATTTATCACATTTTGTTAGAAAACAATTTTTGAGCACAACTTTAAACAACATGCACCTTTCATTAAACGCTGTGAAGTCCACCGTGTGCCTCGTTGCTCCAGACAACTGCGTGTCGTTAAACGTAATTATGGTGACCGACCCCTCAGGGTCAGCAAACTGACCACTAGCGTCCTTGCCACCTTCTCCTTCGTTAGCAACCAGAATGGCCATGCAATCTGTTGTCCATACCAACATATCCGGGAGAGCCCCGACTAAAATACACGTATATACAAAATATTGGAATTTATGGTTTTCACTGACACTAGAATAAAATGACAGTGATTGTGAATGTAAAAGATACATTGGTACTGATTGAAATACATCAGGGAAGGGAAAGGTGACGTGTTTAATTCGTGTTGTAGCCTTTTTGTATGTGTATTACAGAACCTTAATCATCATAGCGATATCACTTTTACTAAAATGCATACCCTGGAATTCGTCCTTCACCCTGAATGTACCCACTGCCGGGTCAAAAGTCGGAAACACGAGCACTTTCCCACTCTCTGCCGTGACGTCATTCTTTACCGAAATAGCCACGTGACTGCCGCACACCTCTACGTCAGTTGGCACCATGGGGACGGTGACGTTGTAAACTAGCGTAGGGTTGGTCGGAATGGAAATATCAACTACGTAGACGAACCCTACCTCTCCTTGAAATTGTAAATTGTAAATATCTGCAATAATACTGCAATAGTTCATAACTTTCTTGTTTTAAATCATGATGACATCGATTGTGTGTGTGTGTGTGAGAGAGAGAGATAGAGAGAGAGAGAGAGAGAGAGAGAGAGCTCGTATTTTTTTTAATTTAATCGACCAGTGTGATCGATAAAAATCACCAGTTCGTAAAGCAACCTGGCAGGATGGATTTGTCCTCGTTTTTATCAAATCGTATGCTGACCAGCTTGTACAAGTTTGCACGGACGTTTACAACTGGTCTTCGTAACTCTTAAAAGTGCCCTTACTTCCAACAACTGCAGCAACTATGCTAGTGCCAGTGCAACGAATCTGAGGGTCCGTGTAACAGAAAGTCCGCCCTCCATATAGTTATAATGGTTAGACGAAGTCTGACCTAAGCGGGTCAAAATCTAGTGCGAGGGTTACCTCTACAAATGAATGGGAAGCGGTCTCTCTAACATGGGGGACACTCTGTCACATTACACCGGAATCTAAGCTAGTATAGACTCTTAACGATCTTAGACAACTCTTGCACTGATGAATTTTACGGAAAAACAAGATTTTAAATTTCATCGAGGAAACAGAGTCAAAAACGCTGCAGCCCTGTCAATGTGCTTATCGTATAAACAGAAAATCGAGGACACGATCAACTTGTGTTTGCACGCTGTACTACAACATGATTCGATTCAAATTTCCCTTTAGAAAAAAAAAGCAAACAGTCAAAGATGGCTTTTTTTATTTCACAGGGAATGGTTTTGAATACTGGTGCACCTGTGTCAATAATATACCTTTCAGCATAAAAACTGGCGCTTTTATTATATTTCTTAAAAGACGGAATCAAAGCGTACAAACTCCCTGTAACTCACTATTTGAGCACATAAGCAGTTTAAGGATATTGTCAGCCTTAGCCCAAAACTCCCTTATTTACTGCCTTACATACATTCTTTTGGATAATAGATAAGTCTTCATGTATAAATTCCTCAGCACACAGAGCCAACCATGACTAGTGTCAGAACAACATCAACTTCACACTTGCATTTTAAGCGTTAGTTGTCACGCGTAATTAATTACTGCTGTCCCTCGTGACCGCGATACCTGGTCAGCTCATAATAACGTTTTTCCATCTCGAAGTTAGGGTTTATTTTAAAACTACAGGACCTTTATAATTAAGATTTCAAGAAATGAACAATTCAGACAGCAAAGTAAAACACAACACTCACTAACGCACACATCCTCTAACTCTACTTTCTTTATAAAAATATGTTAGGGTGTGTTCACTGAGGAAAAGATAAATCATCTTTATAATTTCATAAATGGATCGTGGGGAATTGTCACAGTGACGCAATGTAAAATGTCACGGCCTCATAACCACATCTTCATCCTCTGCAGTCAAAAGCCTTTCCTTTGAAGATTTTTACGTCGAATGCTCGTATCAAATATCTGACGATTTTCTCTATTTCTTAAGATCCCCCATTCCCCCTAAGTCATTATTTAAAGCTATATTTCACTTACCCACGACATACACCATTTTATGCTTCCCGTCATAGGCACATTGTTCTGCTACGCCTTTGTACATATCGTACTGCGGTGTCCCCGCGTCATACCCATAGGGGAGATACAGCGTCCCTAGGGGATGCAGGGTCACGGGGGTCTGTCCCTGGGTCTGGCAGTTGATGGAGAGAAATGATGAGATAGTGACAAGAAAGTAGGAGGTCCACATCTTCGGCAATGGCGTTGGTCTTTGATGATTAGCACTTGCACGTGTGCCCGCCATGTCTTGGGGGTGGATGATAAGGCAGAAAACAAACAATGAAGGATGTTTGGGTCTTTAAGACGGGACACGAGGCTGAAGTGGTAGGCTATAACTTTTCTCACAAATTGCTTGCGTTTTACATATTTTTTTCTTCAAAGAGAATGTTTCAACATGAATTAAATTTCATTTATTAAATCTATTGTAGATCACTGGAAGCCACCTTTTATTATTGCTTCGTATATGATTTTCTTTAAATTTTAAGACTATGGTTAATTGGGTGCACTTTTCTTCATATATCCCGTTTTGTATTTTTGCCTATATATTCATCATGATTATACAACGTATTAGTGTTCTTTCTCTACTTGATACCGTAACAAATGCCTTTTTTATTATTTTCTTTGCTTTGCGCACTATAATATTTTGTTGTTTTGTAAATCCAATTGAGATACTGTAGTGAGTAATCGGTTTCCGACTCTAACACTGTCACTGAGTAGGCTTAAGATATCATCATGAACATTGGTATGGTGGTTTAAAAAACTGGCACCAACGTTTGTTTTAAAATATCTTTTGCCCCTTTTTTACGATATTCCTTTAGAAAGGCATAGGCCTATACATGTATATCGCCTCTACTGATACAATCAAAAGTAGGGTAGACCGGGGCTAAACGCCCAGTCGGGGTCAAACGCCCACCCGCTTTTTTTCAGGTATTACGTATAAATACGCGTCTCGTGATGTTTTGTCCACTTCCGATTTCCAGCAGACTTATCCTCCATGACGGAGATGACCACAAACTAAAAAATAAGCATTTTATGATAATTTGTTCATTTTTGCCTTGTTTACTGTTATTTAGCCTTTTCCTTAACATCAGTGACACCACCTACCAAATGCACGAATTCAAAAAACTTTGTTGGTGACAGATAGGATGGTATCAGACCTCCATACAAGTTTCGATGAAGTCAGATTGTATAAAACTTTTCCCGCCGAATTTTGAAAAAATATACAAAATCTCACTTTGGGGCAAAACGCCCATGCTGATATGGGGCAAAACGCCTATAGTGGGCGTTTTGCCCCGATCACTGGGCGTTTTGCCCCCTTTCGTTTTTAAATAAAAAATAATTCTAAAAAGATGCGGAAGTGTTCTTTCATGCATGTTTTTTTATTGTATATCATCAGTTATAACACTTATATGGGGAAAAGCCAAAGCAAGTGGCTGTACTAGGAACTTAATTTTGGAAGTATCACAGTGCCCTGTCGTAAAGAGTAGAATTACAGCTCATTCTGAATAAATTTGATGGGTATTTTTATTATCTCAGTATCCCAAAATATTATATGTTGCTTTTAAAGGCTTACCAAGTTGTCTCGTAGAAATATAATTTGATTTTATTTTGCTTTGTACAAAGGCGGGGCATAACGCTACAAAGGCGGGGCATAACGCCTATAGTTTGGGGCAAGACGCCCACGGTGGGCGTTTAGCCCCGTGGTGCGAGGCGTAATGCCCCAGCCATGGGGCAAAAAGGCCGATTTTATAATTTACCTATTTTTTACCTATAAGGTTTTTCTTTTGTTTGTTTCCAAAAGTGTTAGTATCAGTTTGTAGTCTAGTCAGCCCTTCATAGTTAACACCCACTTTGAACGGTCTATACCTTCAGCAGGGAAAATTGTGATGTTTCTTGCTTAAGGGGGACGTTTAGCCCCGGTCTACCCTACGTGTAGGCTACACCTTTCAAGAAAATTCCCTGGCACCAAATTGTAGTAGTAGGCCTACTCATGTTTGTAAATATAAATAGGCGTAAAAATGGTATACACGTGTAGCTGTTCTGGTAAGGAAGATCTGTTTAAAAGCAATATATAGCCTCAAGAAGTTATAAATGATCATTATAACTTCTTGATAGCCTATACTTCAGTTTTTAACAAATAAAACACTGCTGTTAAGTCATCAGCTTATAAGCCAAAGACCACACACCGACATCTTACATATCCTGCCAGTTATCTTTCCTAATCGGAGTAATCCAAACATTAAAACAATAAAACAATTTTTATTATTAACATTTCAATGATTTGGTCGGAAAAATCCGGATGGGATACCTGTAGCCAATTGAAATGATAATTAGTAAAAAAACAATTGATTAGAATGCTAATTAATAGGTCTACATGTAGGCCTAGGTAGCCTAACCAAATATAAGGCCTATGTCTGTAGGCCTATAGAGAAAGGGAAAAAGAAAATGGAGAGAAAAATAGCAAGAGAACATTCTTCTTGTCTATAGCTTGGGTAGGGGGGGCCGTAGCGATAGTCCGAAGGTTCAATAGTCCGAAGGTTCATTGGTCCGAATGTTCACTATAGAACCTTCGGACCAATGAACCCCTGATTAAAAAATCGATAAAAATGTTACCACTTTTCGGACCAATGAACCTTCGGACTATCGAGACGCCCCCGGGTAGGGCCTACTAATTTACAGATTAATTTGCAGTTGGTCTATAGGCTACCAGAAAACCCCCTAGGGCCTAATATAGGGCCTACGGAGTAGGCCTAGGCCTATGCGCCTGTACCAGTAGCAACCCCCCCCCCCCAAAAAAAAAAAATAATAATAATAATAGGCCTAATAATAATAATAAATAAATAAATAAATAAATAAATAAATAAATTAGGAGACCCAAATATGTGTGTAATTTCAAAACCGTAGTCTAAGAGCTACCTGTAGGCTTATCATGTGTAGGGCCTACATTTTGGGGGTCGGGGTCCAGCGATACAGTTTTCATGATACATGACCTATTAAGTTTCATCATCAGTTATAATCAATTCTGTGCATACTTGTGATCCTAGATAGAATAGTCGGCTGACTAGATATATATTTCTTAGACTGTAGTATACACTGTACATCGAATGCATGCATGTGCCTGCGCCGTGGTATCGGCAGATTTTCATCAGGCGATTCACGTTGACCAATCAGGCGAGCTGTAACATTCGGCCTAGGCACTCGCATCAAAGGTAAACAAACCTGCCGCAGTTCTACCTGTTATGTCAGGCAGTGTCGGTAGCCGCCAGGAGAGTTGGTTGCGTGGATTTCTCTGATTTTGGTGACAATTTAGACGCCGATAGAAAAGGCTGACATCTGTGTCAACATGGATCCCAATGGGACAATACTGTCATCTCTGACGATAGCGACAGAATACTTGGAGAGTTTGCCTGAAAACCCTCTGCGAGACCCTCTGAAGAATGGCTGGAACTACATGTTGGACACTTACACTAAGCCTCAAATTGCTCTTTGGGGCTCTCTGATTGTCCATGAAGTAAGTGACGGTGTAGATGAATAAAAGACGAACAAATTAATAAGTAAATTTTAATAAGAATAGGTGTCAAATTAATTACATTTGATTACAAAACAATATCATTTTGTTTTCAAAATCAGATTACATAATATTCAGTGTTCAATGAAGAACGCTGCCAGAATAGGGATTATCCAGAGAGAAGGGTAAAGTACAAGAGTTAAAAAATGCCTCATTGACTTCAATTTTTTTCAAATATTAGGCTTATATATACTGAACCCACTAATATCCCCTGGTTACTGTTAATTAATAATAATATTTTTATTTTTAGGTCCTCTATGTGTTGATATGTCTACCTGCATATTTATTCCAATTCATCCCTTTTATGCAAAGATACAAAATACAACAGGTAATTTTTTTATTTTTATTTTTTCTTTATTTTTTTTATTCTATTTGACTCCAGTCCTTTTTATTTTTCTTATTTTGTACTGGTACTGGGGGTATGCACTCCATATATATTTTGTGGATTTGTCATGAGTATGAATTGCAATTATGATAAAGAAACAGATTTTATATCAGAAAAGATCTCTTACTTGAAGTTGAGACCTTATAGTACCAAGAAACTTGATATTAGTGAAAATAATATTTAGAAATAAATGATAAAAAATACCTTTTAAAAATCCATTTCATTCAATGCAAATGCAGCAGTTATGGATTGATTCAATTTATTTTAAGAAGCTTAAGTTTATAGATCCTAGCTTTGTGACATACCTATTCTTAAATCATGCATATATCTTAATATCTTTAGTTGTTCTTTGTTTTAGGACAGGAAAGAAGAACGGCAGTGGGATTGCTTTAAAATGTTACTCTTCAGTCACTTTGTTATACAGGTGGGTGTACATGATTTCATGCAGGTAAATGTTGATAATGTAATACAGGTAAGTGTTGTTGTTGTTGCCATACAGCCGTGTGTGGATCCTTTCCAACAGGTAGACTGTCACCTGATTTATGATAACTGATCTAGTTTTAATTGTCACCTTTAAAACATTTTAAAAAAATTTTGATGACTCGCTTTTTTCCAATGATATTACATTTTTTCTGTTGCATATGCAGGAATTTCAGAACATGATTTTGATATATTTCACATTATTATTATTATGAAGATAGCATATCTTATTTATCAGATTACATTGACACATTATTGTATGAATTGACATGATTAAATTTGATTGCTTCATTTCAGTTCCCCCTGATGTTGGGAACTTTTGCATACACGGAATACTTCAACATTCCTTACAGTTGGGAAGAGATGCCAGCATGGTAATTTTACCTACCCCCATCTTTTTTCCCCTCTCTCTCTCTCTCTCTCTCTCCAGGCACACACGAAGCAGAAGCTTATTAACGTATGAATTCTAAATTTGGGAGATCATGGTAATTGTATGTATTTGGTAGTTGTCATTTGGATCACAAGAGTGTCATGTGGAGTCGATATTGAAAATGATAAAATTGCCAGACATTCAGTCACTAAGCTTAGTTCATCAATGCTATCCAGTCCAAAGTTCAAGTATGAAGTCGTCTAAAATTCCTGCCATGTTACATGTGCATGTACTAGTTAGTAACTACTGATAAGGTGAAATGTTGGTGATTAAGCAGCTTTAGAATTCGGTACTAATTTCACCTTAGTACTTAGAGTTTCAAATGTGATGTCTGCTTACTTCTTCATTTTCAAATTTCCATAATATGTGCATAAAATAACCATACCCTGAGGATTGGAGATTGCCAAAAACTCACCAGAGCCATTCTGATAATGGAGGGGAATTTTCAGTATGGCTATTTCTTGATCTTTTCAATCAGGGAAGGGGGGGGGTGAATTTTACAGATACTGTATATTTTTTAGTCATAATTTTTTAAAATTAAAACATTCCTATTTAATATATCTTAAATTAAAAGCAGGGTACTCTGGAGTTCTACTCTATGCAGCAAAAGCACCACAAATGCTATATAGAAGTACAGATTTCATGATAATAGAATAATATATATGAAAGTTTGATCATTTTTACCTATTGAAAAGATTGAATCATTACTGTAATCTTTAAAATTCAGGTTGTGAAGAAGCTAGCACATACTAGATTAGAATCTGAGGGTGCCCTTTGATAAATAATTAAACTTAATAGTTATATTATCATTATTGGGTCATTATTAGGTCTGTGTTGTATTTCCAGGTATATATTGATGGCACAAGTCCTGGGCTGTTTTGTGATAGAGGACACTTGGCATTACTGGCTCCACAGGGCACTCCACCACAAGAGTATCTATAAACATATACACAAGATTCACCACCGTTACTCGGTATATATTTACATTAACAAACTAGAAAAGCACTCCGAGAGCGCAGACCTCCGCCAAGGCAGCGATTTTTTATAATTATTGGTTATTGATTGATTATTGATCTGGATCTCCACCAAAAAGTAATCACTTCTAAGTTAACCCATTTCCCCACCTACCCTGAAAATTTCATCAAAATCGGTCCATAACTTTTTGAGTTATGTTGATGACAAACAAACAGACAGGGGTGAAAACATAACCTCCTTGGTGGAGGTAACAATTTATCTATTGTTTATTTTTTTCAATTTATTGACTATTTTGGAAACTTTGAATATTGATGAATTAGAAAGGTAGAGGTTCTTAATTCTCCCATCAGATCTTCTTCGCCAGTGTAATACTTTAGTGTTAAAAATTCCAGAACAAATTCCAAAAAAACTAATATTTGATATGCAACTTTTGCTGTTTATTTGTACTAATTATTCCACCAAAGTATTCTTTACTTAAGAACCTGACACCTGGGCTCACTATTTCATGTAGTGCATATTTAACAAAAACTTCTATTTCAAATGCTGTTCTGTTTTCCCCAGGCTCCTATGGGTATGGTTGCAGAGTATGCCCACCCAGCAGAAACATTAAGTAAGTCTCCCCAGTCTTACCAAACGCACCAAATGAAAAATAAATAGTCATATGAAATAAAATAGAATTAAAGAAAATTGTGAAAAAACGACTAAAAGAGAAATGACATTTAAAAAAAATTAATAACATTGGATCAGTATAGAGTAAAACACACACACACCATTTGAAATGAATTTATCATGGTAAGATGTATTGCATTATATATGTAATGAGGTGGTATACAGCTGAGCTGTGTATTTAATTGGTCCAGGATCTTATTGATGCCATGGTTCCAGTTACTGACAATTCATCATATGGGATGAACACTGAACCCAAATCTGTGCCAGTTCCTTATGAAGTACCCTAAAATAGAATTAATTTGCCAATACTACATGTAAATGAAAAAAAAAGAATGCATTCATAGTGGCAATTGGGTCATTTTTGTTTTTCATTGTTTAAGAACACACACTCTTACACATACCAGTCCCTAATTGTCAAAATGACAGATCAATTACCATGGTGTTTCTATTTCAGTTTTGGGCATGGGATTTTTCATCCCTATTCTTTTGTTCTGCACCCACTTTGTCCTGTTGTGGGTTTGGGTGGCTTTCCGCCTCATGGAGACCATTGATGTCCACACTGGATACGACGTCCCCCATCTCTTTCACCTTATCCCTTTTTATGGAGGTAGGTATATGTACTGAATATCTGAATATTATGTACAAGGGTAGTTGGGGCCACAGTTGAAATTCACTCCAAGCAGACTGACATGTCATATACTGTATATATATGTATATATATATATATCAGTGTTTGCGAAATGTGTGTGTAAATTTGACATCTTATAAATTTATGTATTTATGGGCAGGGGGAGTGTAGGTGGAGAGGGTCAGATTTAAAAACGTTTCTTGGATAATGCACTCCCTTCCTCATCCATCTATGAACAGTTATGTTCTCAATAAGATTTTATTTTTTTTGCAAGATGGAGCAAAGGGTTCAAGCAATTTCTTCAATTCTGCACCGATTTCAAAATGAAATTTCAAAGCCAAATTTGAATAAAAGACTTACAGATAAGGATTAAAGATGTAAAATAAGTAATAACACGCAATGCAGCATCTTGAATCTTTACCTGTGTAACATTACAAGCATTTTTTTAAATCAAAAGCCACAAATAAATATAACCGTGGCAACGATATAACTCTTACATTAAAAATATAGGTTGAAGTACACTATGATAAAAATTGTAACTATTTACTAGGCAATGCACTGACTTCATTTTTCAGGGGCCAAAGCCCATGATTTCCACCACATGAATTTTGTGGGCAATTACTCCTCCACTTTCACATACTGGGACAAAATCTGCGGCACTGATAAGCAGTACAAAGAGTACCTCGCCAAACAGAAGAAGATGGATTAAGTCTAGTCAGCAGGGAGACTTGATCAGGCATTGGAGAATTTTGAAGATGAAATCCTTAATCACGATCTCAAGACTAAACGAGTGCTCTCTCATACTAACCTGTGTAGTTGGAACATTTTAGTGCGATTGTAGGGGGCATTTTTCTATCAAACAAAAGCAGTTTTTGACTTTGATTAGCATTATGTGACCCACATATCCATGAACAAAACATTTAAACTTTATTAGTCATACGGAAAATGTGGTGTAAGTTGAAGATCTTGCAAAAAGACTGTGATGGTATATTATTGGCCGGAACCAATTCAAGAATAATTTTGAAAACATGTCTGAATACAGTAATTTGAATAAAAAATATTAAGTTGAAATGGGGCAAAAAGGGAAAGATTTAAACGGAGGGCTGTGTTTCCCTTCAAATGATGTCCCCAGTGACATTAAGAATGGATGGACATTCGCTAGAGGTACAGTTTGCATGTTTACATCACAACGATCAAATGGCCCAGTGTTGAGTGTATGCTACTTTATGCAGTATTAAATTAAGAAGGCCTTTATACATGCTGTCTTACTTGATATTTCTAAAATATGTACTAGCTGTTATGTTCACAATACAGTCTTATGAATTGACGTATTTCAAAAACTATCAATAGTTCAGCAATCAAGTGTGACAAATACAAAGAGAACAGGTTCTTGTATGATTTCATTACAATTACTGGGAAATCTGAATTAAATACCACTCTTAAACAAGTGTACTTAAAAGTAAATCTATCACTGGCTTTGTATACATAAAACACTATGTTTAATGAATATCAGTATATTTTTATTGATATTGCAAAGTGATAAATAGAAAAAAAGAAAAGGACACAATTAAGCATCAAATCTTCAAGTCTCATAAATATGTAGACAATAGTGCAAAGATGGTATGCGATAATGCAATCCCAAAGACAATTTTCACATTAAATGGGTTGATTCTTCTGAATCGATTAAAAAGTATGGAATGCATATGCAACTGGAAGGTAACAAAATAGTGATTCAACTACATCAAACATTACTAAAAAGAATGTGTAAATATACAGGAAATGTTGAAAATTCACTATTTTGCTTTGAGGTAGTTAGTAAACATATTGAAGAAAATCTACTATAAATATATCATCTGCAGGTGTAAAGTCGCAAGTTAAATATATTTTTTTTAGTTTTATGCTAATAATTGTCTTCAAAAAAAAAGTGAAAAGAATTATCTGTAAACATCTAGAGAAAAATGGATCTATAATAGGGTAGTTTTGACTTATGATCATTTCCATCTTCATCAAGAACTTGACTCAGGCATAACTAATCATAGCAGAAATGACATAAATTTAATGTCTTTATAACTGTTCCTTTCGTTGTCTTTTATTGCCTCACATTCAAGACACTGGTAAGATGTATATATATATCTGCTTTCAATCCACTGTACGACAGCTTTGATGATTTTAGCCTAGTGATTAGAGGTTTGAAGATGCATATATTTCTGGAAAGAACTCGAAGAATCCCTGAAACAATAAACAAAACTTATCAAATTTACATACATTCAACATCAGTTAATATATTGTGTAGGAAAGTGTAAAAAAAAGAAATGCTTTAAAATTTTAATAGTTCAGTTGTTATTTTTTATCTGGAATAAAGCCATCTTGCTCTTTTCATCTTAAAATCACTCAACATTTGAATGTACATGAAAGCAATATATTTTTTTTTTCGGGGAGGGAGGTTAATAGACGGGGTGCAAGATGGCACTATAATTCTTTACCTTGTAAAGTTTAATTGACTGCAGGACAGAGGAGGTACAACACATCTCTCTAATGGAATGCATGCTAAGTTGTGGTCCACCTATATCAACAGTAGGCATGCCCAGCTTAGCAGACATGATGGGGCCGATAGTGCTGCCACATGGTGAGTCATTCCTAACTACAAAATCCTGAAAATAAATGAACACATTATGATTTGATGGAATTTCATGTAACTAGACTGATTGATAACTGCAATCTCATTTAGGTTGGCTATAACTGCCTTATTACTTTCATCCAAAAAACGGTTTACAAAATTCTGATTTTAATTGTGGTCATGTGCACTGCCACTTATGCAACAACAAGAACTTCAAATGTGGTCATTTTAAAGTAACGGCATCAATATGCCCGTAAAATATCTGAAACATGATCACGAACTACCCCTTTAAATGGAAAAAACTAATACACAGGTCTTACAGACTGGGATTGGTAATATCAGAATACCTGAAGAGGGACATGTGACCTGGTGGCGACCTCTCTCAAAATGGCCGCTGTAACAGCAGTGGTTGCATATCTCTGATTGGCATTATGCTTCACTACAATGCCCTGTAACACACAAAATACATAACATGTACATTGAAGAACTCTTCATAAACCCAAGCTTATTATCAACATGGTTTCTTTTGTTCCCTTTCATATTTTATGTCAATTTTTCTTTATATCAAAATTTAGTAGGCAACCATGTTCATCTAATACAGAAAGAACCAAAAAGCACTCATATAAAAAAAAACTTTAATCCTTTGTACCGCTGACTACAGTATTTGCACTCATTAATTTCCTCTGAGAACTCTTATTTAAAAAAATGCACCTTTTTATATTATAAATACATAGTGTACTTCTTTAGCTTGACTGCTTACCTTATGAAGACCAGGTCTGTGCTGGTCTTCATGCTTCTCACTGGAATGACATGAAACATGTGAGCTGTTAATATATGTTTAAAAGGAAAACTAGCTAACATGGAGACTGCAGCATGAAAGAACTTTAGAACTGTTTACAAAGGCTGGTCCACGCTTTCAGACCAGAATGTTAGTCTTAGTATTTTGCCTGAAGATTAATCAGGAAAAGTCTGATTGAAATATACCACCCGTGTTATCACAAGCAAGAAATAACCACTAGTTTACACCTATTACAGTAGATTTCTCCTGAAGTGATAATGACCAGTTTCTCTGATAAAGTTAAGAATAACATTTGGTCTATAATTTTATTGTGAAAATGGCCACCGTATACATGTACCAAGTTGTGTAAGCAAAAACGGAATACACATGTCCATAACATTGGTACAAAATCCAGACTGACCTGTAATTTGGGTGGACAGCGTGTGCCTGGTCAGCACTGACCATGAGAGACCTTGGCATTGCAATCTCAAAGCTCCCTGGGGTTGGGCCACTGATTCTTCTGAGAACCAACTCTTGAAATGTAGATCCTGCTCCCTGGGCACTCTGGGAACCAACCTGGGAGGAGAAAGTAAACTGTGGGTAAACCGTAGCAAAACAAATACTTTTGAAAAAAAAAAATTAAAACTAAGACATATCTTTAAGCATTGCAGGAGGAGTAAGAAGTCATTTAACCCTTTCAGATGGCTTTCAAATTTGACTGTCACTGAGAGAATGGTTGTAAATTACTTATTCAGAAAGAGAAAGAGACTGGTAACCCATTTACATCATCTTTATTTTTTTCCAGCACGCATGTTCATTTTCCCCTCTAGACCATAGTTTGGTATTTATATGCTTATCTTGCAGTAAAAAAGGTACTTTTATGTTGCAATAAAGTGCAAAATAAAATGAAAAACGAAAATAAATAATTCAGCTTAGTGCATACCTCCTCATTATCAAAAAGGCTGATCATTCTTATGTTGGGGTCTTGTTGTAGTGTTTCATTATTGCATGCATCCAGCAGACCCTGGAATAGAATATATTACAGTTATTGAAACAATAGCATCTTCCACTGATGTTTCCTAATTTTAAATTTCATATCGACAAATAACTGTCCAGAGCAAATTTTCATTGAAAGTCTGGAATTGCTTGTTGAAAATGTTGATGTTAAAATGGGACTTTACAAAAATAATCTATAAAATGATAAATGTTTATTGCAGGAATTCATCTATTAATGTTTTGATATATTTGTCTTTTTCTCCATAACTGTGTCAGATAGAAATTAATGTATTTCAATCAGAAATTAAAATCATTTAACATCATGGAACTGAAATATCCCATCATGGAATTGAAATATCCTACCTCCATTGCAGTGTAAGCATTCAACAAGTTATCCAATCTGGGTGCAAAGATGAACTCATTCAGCGCTCCTCCAAGACACTAAAATGATATTAAAATAAATTCATTAAAAAAAAACATACCCATTACTTCATGACCATATGATCACAAAATCATTTTACCAAGTCTATCCAAAGCTGACAGCTTACAGTCACACATGGTACACCTTAAAAATGGACCCTACATGTTATTACAAGGCTCTCTTAATTTTTCTTTTTTTTTAATTTCACCACCCAACTTCCCTCCTCCCAAGTGCAAAACGGTCCACTTCTGATAATTCTCTTCACTTACAGCAGGCTGGGTGTCTGCCAGACAGAGCTCAAAGTCCATGATCTGGTCAGCTGTCATCCCGAGTTCACCGCTTAGTATGTGCACCAGGACAGGGTGGTGCTTATCAGCCTGGAAAACAAAGCATTCAATGATCCACAGGGTGTCAAGTGTACAGTTTCTTCGATGATGATCTCAGGTTATTCTTAGACAGACATTACTAGGAAGCATAGCGCTAAGGTGCATGTATTAAAATTCATCAACATATATCATACATTGTGATGTACACAAGTTATAATAAATAGCAAATAATTATGATTATTTCTGAATCACTGTGTGCATTCTTAGAGAAATGAATTTTCCAGCACAGTGATTTTGTGGTTCTCCTTCTTACAACACATGCCAATCTTATGTAAATGTTTTAATTTGTAATTCTTATCCTATTCCAGTTTATGTACAACTTCAGCCTTGTGTTTGCCATGTATTAATAAACTTATTATTATTATACAAACTCCTCCCAATCACCATCCTTACTCACTTCCTGCTTGAAGTCTGAAGTTTCTGCTGTCTTACTGCCATACTCCAGCTCTTCCTGTACACTGGTAGCCAATATAGGCTGCCTACAATGAGAAATCAGTTCATGTATATTATTAGTATGTATATAATTATCATTATCATTAGAGAGCTTGGGATCAAGATATTGCTGGATGGTAAGTGTTGCATACCAGAACAGGTATGAAATTGCAGAACTACAAATTGCTAACTCAGGAAGCTATGTTTAAGGGAGCATTATTCCATAGCTCATGTGTCACTGAGAGATCTTTAAACATACTTAGGTATTTAACTAGCAAGCTTACTACTGGCTCAAAGGACTATATGGCTAAAAACATTTTAGAACAACCTTGTATATAGGTATAAAGAAGATGTTTAAAATTGGTGCATAATTCAAACAATTACAGGTGTGTCTCTTTGTTAGGTGAGAACTTCTCATTCATGTCCCTCATGAGGTGAATGGCAATGTTCGGCACCCTCAAGATGGGTCTCTTCACATGGACAAGGCGATGGCCTAATTTGCTGTCATTCTGAAATACATAACAGGCTGGGGCATAATCCACCAGTCCAACACAAATGACAGAGAATGCTTTTACACAAAAGTTTGGACACAAAAATTCATGTGGAAGTCACTTTGATAAAATATTAGAGGGGGGGAGTGAAAGATTAAGTGTTAATCTGCTTTTATGTGTAATAAAAAAAAGAGAAAAAACATGGAAAAATTGTGGAAGAACAACTTAGGTACTTTGCTATTACATATATAGATATCACCTATAAGCCCACATTCAGAACAGTAGACTAACTAGACCAAGGGTCAAATATAGCTGACCCTCTTGAATACTTCCCCATACGAAATCTATTCAGTATCTAATAGTAGATTACACTGCAAGCTTTTTAGTAGGTTGCCATATTTGACCCATGGACTAGTTAGTCCACTTAGTCCGGTTGCTTAGGGCAAAAAAATGGCCAAATCGTGACACAGCGGATAAAAGCACCAAATTTTGCATGTGGGTACCTTTTGACATACTAAATCAAATTAGAGCCATAGCCCACGGAAAAAATTTACCGTTTGGCCAAAAAATCCAAAATGGCCGCCAATTTGTGAAATTTTGTAGAAATATATACATATCTATGTTGATTTTTATCAAATTAAGTATTTTCTCAATGTTTTCCACATCCTTATTACCCATATTATGCATATGTGTCAGATAACAAACTAGTGTCCTTGGACTTATTGAAAAATCCAAGATGGCCGCCGTATGGCATAGGAATACTAGAACATGTACAAGGGTTTTCAACTAACTAATGCCAACTAGGAAGATGCATTGCCCACTATCTAATTAATTTTGTTTCTTATTACACAAATAATATATTTGTGGGGAGTAACTAACCTTTATTCACAGGCAATTCGAGAAAAATCCAAGATGGCCCCCATATCAAAGGAATACTAGTATACACATAGGGCTTCTTCTGCCATGGAGATATAATATTAATTGATAAATTAGGTTTGTTTCTGAGTATTTTCCACATCTTTTTAATTAACGTAATACATATGTGATGAGAATGTTATGTGTATCCTTTTTGAAAACAAAACAAAACAAAATGGCTGCCATTAGCCGTAGAAGGTGGGGTTCAGTTAATACCTGTGAGAGATAGGCTTACAAATAAAATGAAGCTGAATTCAGTTGTTATTCTTTTTTTTTTAGTATTATTATCCCATGACACATATCTGTTAGGTAATTAATGTCCATATTTTATCATTTTGGGGAAATCCAAGATGGCCTTCTTTTCCTCATAGGAAAACTGGTGCATTAGATTTTATAGGCACTTCTAAGGCAAATGAGGGTAATCATGATATTTTTTCAAAATACTTAAGGGTATACACTTGTTACCCACCAGATAGATATCTAAAAGTCCAAAAAGAATGTGGGAAATACCGAGAAACAAAATTCATTTTATATTGAACCCAATGTTTCTCTGGCAGTAGTTGACTGTACTATTCCTATTGTGAATTGCAGCAATCTTGAATTTTCTCAAATATGCAAGATGCACACTTGCTACACACCAGATTTATAAAGAGTAAGGTTAATAAGGATGTCAACATGTTTAAACATCAAACGGCTTTATTTGAACTGTTCTATTAATTGACACCTATGTGCATTTGAATGATATATTCCTATGACAACTGGCAGCTATCTTGGGTTTTCTCCGAATAATACTCAAGGATA